AAAATTTTGTGTTCAGAGCTGTTCTCGTACAATTCAGGAGCCATCAAATCATCTCTGGAACAGTTCCAGATTCAATTTTGAAGCGTAAAGTGAATAGAGTAAGTCCATTTGCGTTCAGGTATTGAAAATGGAGTAAAAAAATAGACCCCTAGAAATTCCATTTGTTTTCGACTTGGCATTACTTTTGATTTTGTCGCTCCTTTTTACTCCGGAGCCGTTTGGATCTGAATATTGGAGCGAATCGTGCAAACTTTATATCTCGTTCAAGAACAAATAGAGCACAGGTAAAAATAAATCCGCTCCAATGAACCTGGCAATAATAGTCAACTTTATTCTATTAAATACTGTTTTTTGATTCGGAACTCTTGGAGTAAATTCCTTTTGCATATGGTGTCGAAAATTAGAATTTCGACACTTGGTGTTTATTTAAATAGAGCAAACTTGGCGCCAAATATTTCAAGTTCAGAACAATACATTTCTGAAATAATTTGTTAATTTAGATTATGGGAACGAGTGTAAATTGAACAGTTTCGAGTAATTTGCACCACACTGTGCAAAAAGTGTTACTCTGGCACAAAATGCAGCACTAAAGTTGGCTTGTTTACTCTATCTACTCCGTACATTCAGAAAGAGTATTACTCCACAACTGTTTACTCAATCACTGCACTCTAATGATTACTCCAACCATTACAATAAAAAAGTCACTAGTTCTACATTTGGCTATATGGAGTAGAGTTAATGTAGCTGACTCCAAAAAAATTGTTCTGGTGCAACTATGAAATTGAAATCCTAGCAAAGTTACACCAAGGTTTGGTGTTCCAGAGGCTCTACTCTAATATAAATACTAAATAATGAATTTATTTACTTTAATAGGTTGACTTGAAAATTAATTTTGAGTTTTTAGTCATCTTACTATGACTGTTCCATGTGCACTGACTTTGATTGTTTCAATTCTGATTCAAATTACGAGTTAGAACAGTATTTTTGGAGTAAAAAGTGCAAAGTTTTGCTCTACCCATTCGGATTTTGTAATCGAACCGTCGAATGATCGGCATTTGTTAGTTACTTAAAATGATCTGGGCCCTAATTATTATGACATGGAGCGGAGCAAGAATAGTATTTTTGAAGTGAAAAAAACAAAAAAAGTTTCACTCTATCGTTTTGAATTTTGTAATCGGAGCATAAAAAGTAAGATTACTTGTTCAGAGTAGAAAAAGTTTACTCCAAAAGTTCTCAAATTAGAATTGAAAATAACATTAATAGAATTCTATTTTTAATGACAAATTGACGGAAATAGTTATCAAATGATGATTCTTGGGCGTTTGCTAATAATTAAAATAGAATTCTATTCGAAATAATTTGGGCCCTAAATATTATGACATGGAGCGAAGTCAGAACAGTATTTTTGGAGTTGAAAGAGCAAAATAAGTTTTACTCTATCGATTCTATTCAAAATGATTTGGGCACTAGATATGATGACAAGGAACGGAGTCAGAATAATATTTTTGGAGTGAAAAGAGCAAAAAAAGTTTTATCGGTTCGGATTTTGTATTCGGAGCAAATAAAGTAAGATTACTTGTTCAAAATAGAAAAAGTTTACTCGAAACGAGACAATGAAGCTTTGTTCACAGATTACATGCCGAAACTACTCCGGAACAGGTTCAGAATTTTATTTTACTGCAAACGAGTTCGGAACCGAAATAGCGGTTCTTGTTGAATCCTTAGAACCAATTCAGAATCGATTTGGAACTGTGTATAAATTACACTCCAGAACCAATTCAGAATTTTATTTTGCGACAAACGATTTTGTTACTGATTTAATTGACGTTTAAAAGAGATAAACGATGGTATGAAAACATTAATTTTTCCGCCAACACTTGCTTGCTTGTCAATGTCAATGTTTATTGGGTGTTTGACAATTTCAAATTGTTAGAGAAAATGTGGGAAAAGTCATAGAAAAGCCATTGCTTCATTTGCAGAAATTTGCTTTGGATTGCATTGATGTTATAGACCTAATAAGGCGTACATTGGCCAGCGGGTCTGCGGGTGACGTCATTACTACCACTATATAGCTGATAGTAATGACGTCATCGACGGACCTCGATGCTTGCGATTGGGGCGGTGATTGAGTTAATTTTCTCGTCGATTTTAAATGTAGAAAAGGTGATTTCAACGTTTAGGAATTCGTTTTCAAGCCTATGTGTTTCAAACTCGGATAATGCATTTTACGCCGAAAGCTGAGGTCTGCGACTGACGTCACAAATAATGGGAAATTATCGTGTGGACATGCCCTGACAAATTGCCCTTTTGGGAGCAAAAGCCAATAACCAAGAAGAAGAAGAAGAAGGCTCTTTAAGTTGATAGGTTGCTTGATGACGCATTTGGGGTACCCTATGGAGATTTTCATTATGTTGATGACGTTATCCAGTTATCCAGGCAACCTACCTCTTTCAAATAATCTTGATAGCAGACACTTTTAGCTCAATTGGACTTTGGTAAAGTGTTCTTGGTCTAAGGTTCCATAAGTTAATAGGCTGAAGGTAAACATATGATATCTTCAGGAGGATCTAATAGAAATTTGCATAATGTTAAGGCAGTCCAAATAACGTCATGAAAGTAATCATTCAAATCTTGGTCTAAATAATAGGTTTTTTGTTAATGGAAAACCGATGACGTCATAAAAGTTATTATTCCACCTTAGTCTGTATACGCTAGGTTGGGCTATTCAGCACGGAATTGGAGTGGAGTAAGAATAGATTTTTGTTACGTGATTAGAATGGAAAATTAATACACGAACGACCAAAACGGTCGGAGCAAGAACCACAACGTGACAGCATATCAAGCTTGACAGTTTCATATTTCACTTTTGCGCATGCTTACTCTAAAGATTCCTATCCCAGGTGGAACTTTTGGAGTGAACTCCATTTACTCTACTCTGTATAGTCGAATGCTAATGGAGTCACTCCTTATACGCCAAAAAGCAATACCCAAACGGCTCGAGTGAATGGAGTCACTCGGAGTACACGGCAAGCCGAACCCACCTATAATAGGTTTTCCGGTAATGGGAAACAGATGAAGTCATCTGCGGTGACGTATGGAAATTTGTTTACGCACTCTAGATGACGCCATAAAAGTTATCAGGCAACCTATCTTTTTGAAACAACCTTAAGTCTGAAAAAGTAGTTCTGCTCACACTGAAATCACAAATCTGTGAGAGTGAATTCCATTGGTTAAAATTAGTTTTCCGAATGTTTTTCACCAATGAAACTCGTTCTGACTAAAGCCTAGTACTCATAACTGCGAAATTCGCATTTTTTTGACATTGCGTTGACAAGTTGACGTTTCATGCGTGTATCAAACGTCAAATTGTCGAAGCAATGTCAAAAAAATGCGAATTTCGCAACGAGAACACTGCTGTAAATTGGACAGAAGTTTTGACACTTGTTCAAGTGGGTGGGTCTACGCAAGGAATATCACACTACCCTACAGCGGATTGCGGAGATAGCATATTTTCATATAAAATCTTTGTAGATTAAATTTCAAGCCCTTCACCACGCCCGAGAACCAGTGATGACGTAGCCAGCGTGTCGATTCTGGCCTTGATGTAGGATATTTGTACCACAGACTATAAATCCGCTGGCTTTTGCTATTATACATACTTGGTTTTGGTACATTAATTAACAATCTAAAACAACTAGATCTCGTTTGCATATTCCATTTTATTTAGTGACTATTGGGAATCAAAATTAAATAATATTTTTCATCTGTATATGTCTAACCCAAGGATAATGCACACTACTACTACAGGATAACATGAGAGCTGTTTTCTCGCGTTCATTTTTTTTGAAACTGGTTCAAAACAAATTTGAAATAGTATATTTTTGCAATAAACTCATGACGTCATATCAAAATTGGTTCAAACCGTTTCGAAATACAATCCAATCTATGTTTTTAAATCATTTTCTTGCGCCGAAAAATTATGACGTCATTGTGAAACTTTTTTGAAACAGTTTTAGAACTTTGATACGCGAGGACATACCTAAGGTCTGTGTAGTGCAAATTTCAAGTTCTCTATTATACCAGAGTACCAGTGATTACGTAGGCAGCATGTCGTGTCTTATCTACTCCTCTATTGAGGGATTTCCGAAATAACAAATAAAATTCCATTATGTAATCATTTATCAAGCACTAATTCACACTACACGTTGTCTATACATGGCAAACACTGCACTAGAAATATTAAATCCTTGATAAATCGTAACTAAATACACAAAAATCAGCCAGGGAATAGGAGTCAAAAACAAATGTATCTTATTCAACAATTGCATCGAATTATAGCCCAGAAAAGTGATATAAACGTAGTAAATTGAAGCTGCAAGCCAAAACAAGTTACCAAAAATAACCGCTAAGGCCCCCAAACGGCCAGCATCCTGTTGAAAAAACAAATTGTAAAAAATCAACAAGAAAAAGTGCAGCAGAATAAGTGGAGGAAAAAACGCATTCAAATGTATATCAAACGCAAATCCCCACTCGACATCTTGCGGCATACTTTTAGGCTTCAAAAACCTATTAGTAACATACCACAAAGCAGTTGCAATCAAAACTCCAATACCGATACAATCAATGAAAATCTCCACAACTAAAAACTTCAAAAATTGCAGGAAACTGTAATTAAGTGCCACTGAAAATCCGATTGATGTCAAACATAAGGCACCAGCAAACAAGATTAAAAATGCAGGATCATCTCGGGCATATTGGGATTTGAAGTTTTTGCGCGCCCTGAAAACTTTTGTAAGCTTTTGCGGGGCCACCATCAAATAGAACATTTGCCATAAGGCAAATTGAAAGTCCATTTGTTCGAATTTGAATAGGCGACGAAAGTAGCGGCGGATTTTGTGGTAGGCGGTGTTTATGTCGGCGCCCCTGGCTGATGACGTCATCAGAGGTCTGTTCATGGTTAATGATTTTTATACTTTTTTTAAATAATTATGATTGATTTTTTATCCTCTTCTTCTCGAATCGATGCACTGGTTGATTACTTTGATTAGGTGCGAGTTTTCCAGAGCGGCCGCTACGCGTTCTTTGTCCGCCAACTGTTTGTTGACTTGGGTTTCGGCGTTGTGGGTGCCTGGAGTGACTTCGACCTGTAAAAAAAAAGATTCAATTTAAAGGCGGTGTGTGTCAAAAATTGGAGTTTTAGTGTAAAAAAATCTGACTGTTCAAACCTCGTTATTCTACGATACGCCATCGTTGAGATATACCACGCGAGTGAAGTTAGCATCACTTTTGCCACGTTAAAAAAATTAAATTCACCAGAAATTGGAATGAAAAATCACCAGATTTTAAAAAAAAAAATCACCAGAAATCTTGAAAGTTGATTTTCCAGGCTAATATTACGAGTTGTAAATGAAAAAATGCGTCTTAAATACAACTTAATAATATTTGAAGTATTTATTAAAACACAATTCACACAGTATAAATTTCTTATGGCCATTTCCACCAACTATTTTAGGGAAGTCCTAAAGGTGGGTATGCCTTAAACTGACATTTCTCCATGTAAAAATGTCATTTTAGGGAATACTTATCGTTAGGGCTCCCCTAAAATAGTTGGTGGAAACGGCCATTAATACAGTGGTAAATGTAGAAAATAGGTATCATTTTATTTGCACCCACCTAAGGTACAAATTGAATAACTTATAACTTTTCCCTGATTGTATGGTCGTATGGTTTCGAATTATTTTAAGTTAAAATAGATACCCAGATCAGGATTATTATAGAAAAGTATATTTTTTAAGTTCAGGGGGGAATCACCGATTCCCAGCCCAGGTTTTAATCGATGTCGGTAATACAGATAACTGTAAGCAAAAAATTTATCAAATCAAGTAGGTCTTGGAGAAGTGGAGTAGACAAGGAAATGAAAGACAGAGGCCTAGAAGAGGATGCCTGGATTGACAGAGATGGTTGGAGATTGGGAATCGGAAGACGTAGAACGTTATAAACCGATAATTATACAGGGTGTATATTTTAAGTGATACCCCTATGGCTATATCCGAAACGGTAAGAGCTATAAGGTCGGTTAAATTAGAAAAAAGTTGCATTTTTTGATGCTCATTCAACACTTGTTTACAGTGTTGCCAAAGTCCTTTTAGTTTATGAAATACAGGGCGATTTATAAAAAAGGCCTAAAATTATTTCATCAATTATTTTGAAAACTATTGATAGTCGGGACACAATTCAAATTTGAAAGTTTTATAATTTTTTTCGCTCTACAACATGGCATCTTCAAATTTTAAATCCGACGTTTCGTGATCGAGATACCATCATCAACTTCATTTTTTTAAATACGGACCTGGATTTTTTATGTCATTTTTGGAAAGAGCGAAAAAAATGATAAAACTTTCAAATTTAAATTGTGTCTCAAAAATCAATAGTTTTCGAAATAAATGATGAAATATGTTTGGACGTTTCTTAGAAATCACCCTGTATTTCATAAACTAAAAGAAATTTGGCAACACTGTAAACGAGTCTTAAATGGGCATCAAACAAGGCAACTTTTTTCTAATTTAACCGACCCTGTAGCTCTTACCGTTACGGATATAGCAATAGTGGTATCACTTAAAATATACACCCTGTATATATAAGTAGGCCTTGGAAACAACCCAGCCATTTTAAATTAACTGTCAAAAACTACAGGGCCTACTTTGAAACGTTAAATTGCGTTAGGGTTACTACATTTTTTGACTAGGGTTGCTACGTTTTAATTTTTTCTTCCAAAACTTAATAGTTTTGTGAATTTTAACAAATCCTTTGCTAAAACCAGTTCAGAAAAAATGTATTTCTATCTCTTTTTTATACAAACTAGTGAAAAAAGACACGAATACACTCAGTGCACACTAATGCCGTTGAAAATAATGCAAATTGAATAAAACAATTAAGCAAAAATAGAGCTTCAAAAGTAATTTTAATGAAAAAAAATCGTAAGTTTGATAGCAACACTTCGCAGGCCCATAGGATCGGGGTCTTTTTAATTTACGAGCCCGAAGGGCTAGGGTCTACTTAAGTTACGAGCCCAGAGGGCCGGGGTCTTTTTAAATTACGAATCCAAGGAGCGAGGGTTTTTATGTGTGGTCACCTTCATCGTGTGTATCTGCTTTTTCAGTCTCAATTTTTTGGGACTTTTTTTATTTTTTGAACCTCTAACCTAACCAGATTTCAGGAATGGTTAGGTTACGGAACGTTTACCGGGTGAGTTACTTAAAGGCCCATAATGTTCTGACTCTGGATCAGTTCGGATTTCAGGAATCAAAGGGGTGCAATGATGCCATATTTACGTTTCTGAAGAGACTCTTTTTTGCTCTCAATGATGGTGAGAAAGCTGCGGCAGTGTTTTGTGACTTTTCAAAAGCTTTTGACTGTGTTTATCACGAAATACTGCTGCGGAAAATGAGCCACTACGGAGTCAGGGGAACGGAGTTGAGCTGGTTTAGAGCATACCTTTCGGATAGATCCCAGCTAATAAGAATTCATGGTAAAGATAATTCAAAGACGCTAAATTCAACCCATGGGGTTCCTCAAGGGTCAGTTCTTGGGCCGGTTCTCTTTTTAATTTACATTAACGACCTGGCAGCACTGTCAATTCTGGGAGCTTTTGAAATTTTTGCAGACGATACAACCATACTTTGGCAACACAAAGACATAACACGATTATTGAAAAAGACTTGGAAAAAATCAAGGGGTGGTGTGACGCAAGTCGCTTGGTTTTCAACATATCTAAAACAAATATACAATCATTCAAATGCACTCTTAATGAAATCACACTTGACCAGAAGCTGGTAGAAGATAGAACTGTTGTAAAATTTCTTGGTATGCACATAGATTCGAGACTTAAATTTGACACTCATATTGATACCCTTAATAAAAAACACTCACAGGGCTATTATATAGTGAAAAGCATTCTTCATGAACTGGGAAAGCACACAGCCAAACATGGGCGTCGTTACGAGGTTTCTCAGGGGGGGGCAGCACTAAGGGTAATCAATATATATATATATATATATATATAAAAGAGGAGGACAGTAACGGGGTACTGGTAACAACAAAGGATAAGTTAATAGATGAGATTCCCCAAAATGCTAGAGGTAGCCAAAGTAAAACGATGTAATGTGCTACTAAGTGTCTGTTACTGTAGCTATGGATAGAGATGCGTATCTTGAGAAATCCTTAGAACTTTTGAACGATGCTGAAACTTATAAACTTGTTGCAAAAGATCCCATCTCTTCTGTAGAGAACAGTTGTAACAACTTAATTAAAACCTTAAAAAATAAAGAATTTATTCCTAGCGAAATGGCGAAGGCACTCACAACGTACAATGGTACTTGTCCGAAATTCTACGGCCTACCTAAAGTTCACAAACCAGATATTCCATCAAGGCCTATCATATCATGTATAGGAAGCTCAACTCAACCTTTAGCTAAGTTTATTTCAGAAATCTTGTATAGGTCGTTCTCAAATTTTAATAAATTCAAAATTTTTGACACGTTTGACTTCTCTCAAAAAATTAATAATGTTCAACTGCCGGAGGGTTTCGTACTGGTGTCTTTTGACGTGGTCTCGTTATTTACTAATATTCCATTGGATTTGGTTGTGTCAATTATTGAAGAACATTTTGAATTATTGGAACCCAATACCAAGATCCCTTGTAATGTTTTTGTTAGTATCATTAATTACCTGTACAATAATACTTTCTTTTGTTTCAATGGTCTCTTCTATAAGCAGGTAAAGGGGCTACCAATGGGCGGTGCCACTTCCCCTATCTTAGCAGAAATTGTAATGAATAAATTACTTTACTTTGTCACTAATAACTCACAATTTCAATTCCCTTTTATCTATCAATATGTTGACGATCTTTTAACAGCAGTTCCTGCGGATAGGGTAGGTGAAACACTTGACCTTTTCAATTCATTTAATGAGAATTTGAGATTTACAGTTGAAGAGGAAACTGAGTTGTCTGTGCCCTTTCTTGACACTAGGGTGGTTCGGACGGGAGAAAATAGAGTTATCTTGGATTGGTACAGAAAAAAATCTAGTTCAGGTAGATACATACCATTCTCTTCTTACCATCCCTTCAAACAGAAGATTAATGCAATACTAGCTCTAAAGAACAGAATCCAAAAGATTGTACATCCTACTTTGTTGGATAAAAATCTGAGATTACTCAAAGATATCCTTATTAATAACCAATACCCACCGAACTTGATTAATAAATTACTGTTTAGCAATGTTACACTTAACCGTCTCCAACCAGTCAATGATGTTGAGGGTGAGCTTCCTGTTCCTAACAAAAAATATGTGAAATTACAATTCATTGAGAACTTATCTCCAATCATTTCTAGACTTTTATCTCAACATAACATTATTGTGGCTAACTATAATCAAAAAAAACTCAGTCTCTTTTATACATCATTAAAAGACAAAACTCCTACACTCCAGAAATCTGATGTTGTATATGGTATCAAATGTGAATGTGGAAAAATATACATTGGTCAAACTTCACAAAAGTTAACAAAAAGGGTAGCTCTACATAAAAGTGATTGTAGGCATAAACCTCTGAGTACGAGTCTCAGTATACATGTGAACAACAATGACCATATGGTCCACTATAAAGATGCCTTTATATTGCATTCTGAAAAAAATTCATATAAAAGGAGGATTCTGGAGATGTGTTACATTTATAATTGTGATAACTGTCTAAATCATAAAAAAGATGTCGAGGGCCTGAGTTCAATTTACACTTATTTACTTTCTCAAAAGTTAACTAACAGCAATAAAAAGTATCCACAAGAGTACGTCAGAAAGAATTGGGGCTAGTTTACCAGTCTTTGTTTGATTGTCTTTTCCAAACAGACGAAATTTCTGGGAATGTTACTATTTTTTAATAATATTGACTAATTTGAAGCCTGCCTCTCTTACATTGCTGGTTTTGTGATTGGTAATTTGAATTTTTGAGTTGTATAATATAAAGTAAAGAGCGATATATTGTTAAATAGTATGAATATCTGTACCCCTTATCTGGGAGAATAGCTAACTATCAGTTGATATTTTTGTGTTAAGAATGACAGAGTGAAACATAACCTCAATCCTCTTT